ATAAAATTGCGTACTGTTATCTCAGAACATAATGCCAAACTTAAGTTATATCATAAATGTAAAGTATAAATTATTCATGTGTCTAAAACCCTCAATGATGTGAAAGTTAAATTCAGAGACAGCCGATCATTGTATGACTTTCATTACAAAGTATGGTCGTTTGCAAAAAATTCTAATAAAATCTCATGATTGCATAGACTGTTGCTATAGTATAAAAACAATAGTATTATAAAATTCATCTGACATGAGAAAATCGTATGTATTGGTAAAACTTAGTACATGGTTGCAAAAAAAAATTATTTCCAAGAAGTGGGCTATAAACATAAAATTCGGGAAGAAAGTGAAAATGGATAATTGAAAACCTTCAGAACGTAAAAAAGTTTTAGCGTACTCACATCTTTATGCATGGGTTAAACTTTTTTACCATTGAGGACCGCATACATGGAGATTAAATACTATTGTTACTACATACTTTTTAGATATTTTTTATACTGCATAACACAAATTTATGGTAGTTTTTTTGCTAATATTTTTACAGATAAAACAAATTAATACAAAGGATGCTATTTCTGTTAATTGTTTGATAATTAATTGGAAATAAAAAAAGGTGTGTGCTAATACTACACTCGAATAATGATTACAGAAATACTTAACCGTGCAGTAAAAATAACTAGCGATTCATTAGAGCTTAAAAATAAATAATCTATTGTACGCATCATCTTACATCATTCAACGTGTGAGATGCACTAATTCATGAAAGCCAGTATTATAATATATACGAGCAACTACTAAAACTAACTCACGGCATTAAAAAAAAAAAAAAAAAAACATTGTCACAATCATTGTAGATATAAACGAGTGCAAGTCGGCCAAAAGCCCATGCGATGTGGCTGCCCAGTGCATTAACACCGTGGGTAGCTACGAGTGCTCGTGTTTACTGGGTTACGAGCTGAACCTGGTGCATGGTTGCATCGATGTAAACGAGTGCTCATGGCCTAACGCTTGTGCCACTAACGCCAAATGCATCAACATCCCAGGCTCGTTCAAGTGTATATGCCTGCCAGGCTTCGTGGGCCAAGGACTCACTCAGTGTGAAAGTTAGTTGCTTGCACGCTTTATATCCTCTCCCATTTAATTTCCACACCCGATTTTTAACTAATACTAATCTCTTGTTATTTTTAATTAATAATCACGTGCAATTACTCAAATTTACTATATTAACAGATTTTAATGAATGTGAGACAAAACCTTGTGGTAAGAATGCTGAGTGCACCGACACTGTCGGCAGTTTCAGCTGTAACTGTAAGGAAGATTACACTGGCGATCCATTCAAAGGCTGCTCTGGTTAGCATACTTTAACATTTATCATTCGTAATTATTTAAGTAGCGTATATTAAGTTTATCAATCGTAACACTATACTTACATGAGCTTTCAAAAATTCATTGCCTTTTTTTAAGCGTACAGGTAATTTGCAATGGAAAAACACGGGCCTTTCATAATAGTTTGTTAATAACCAATGATGCTTAGATGACAGTATTTTAAACTATTTTATCGACAATATTGTTCACATATTAATATTTTATTTTTTTAAATGTTAAACCAAAAGAATGAATTCTAATAGAAACGATAATCCAGCTAGATGAAAACAAACATATTAGTAGAGCTTAGGATATATCAGCGATGACAGGAAAGCACGAGTCACAGTATTAATTGTATTAAAATTTTAGATATCGACGAATGTATGGCATACAAAAATCCGTGCGGTTCGAACGCGATATGCAGGAACACTGATCCCGGGTATACATGTGACTGTCCTCCGGGTTACAGTGCCAACCCTAGTCCTAAAGTTGCTTGTGATCAGGTAAACCATCGATTTTAAACGCATTTTGTTTATTTGTTTTGAAAAACCATAGGTGACAAAGAAAGTGATGTTGATTTTTCAGACGGACGTTACGACATTGTGTAAATCGAATTTCGACTGCGTCAATGACGCTGAGTGTACCGATGGCCAGTGCTTTTGCAAAGATGGCTTCAAAGCTATAGGTGCTGTATGTGAAGACGTAAATGAGTGTGCATCGGACCCATGTGGATCGTCATCTATTTGTACGAACACGAAGGGTGGATTCAAGTGTGCTTGTGAAATCGGATTTGCTGGAACTCCACCACACGTTCCTTGCAAGGGTAATTGCAGCTTTTAAATTAATCATCGCATATATATATATATNAAAAAAATTATATGAAAATTGTTCCCTATATATATATATATATATATATACATAGACACCTTAAAACGTTGGAAATTTGGTTTTGAATAAAATTTTTATCCTCTACATCATTAGCACCATGTGACGATGTGATCTGTAGTCAGCATGCTTATTGTAAAGCTGACGGACATGAAGCTTACTGTATTTGCGAAGATGGATGGACGTTCAATCCAAACGATATAGCTGCTGGATGTGTTGGTTAGTACTCGAAATTGGATAAACGTTTGCGACATTTTTTCATAAATTGAGAATCAGATTATCATTTGTACTCTTGAATTTGTAGATATAAATGAATGTGATCCGACGATAAACGGACCATCAGGGCGTTGCGGTAATAATGCGATATGTTCAAACGCCCCTGGTGGATTTAATTGCCAGTGTAAATCAGGCTACTCTGGTAATGCCTTTAAACAATGTTTAGGTACGTTGAACTTTAGTAAATTAATTCTTAATGAATATTTCTTTCGTGATCATACATAACATTGTTTGTATTTGGCGTGACAGATATTAATGAGTGCACTAGGCCTGATGCGTGTGGACAGGGAGCGATTTGTACAAACACCGAAGGTTCGTACTCTTGCTCCTGTCCAGAAGAAACTATTCCCGACCCCGATCCCTATATTAAGTGCGTTGGAGTTGTTACGTGCGACACGGATAGCGATTGTCCAGGAAATGCCGTGTGCGATGTCCAAAAACGATGCTTGTGTCCAGAACCAAACGTTGGAAACGATTGTAGACGTGAGCGAATATTTAGTTTTTTTTTACTTGCTACTCGATATCTTTTTGTAATTTTTCAATCAAATATAAAATGTGGTACGTATTGCGAATAACTTAAGCACGAAACGATCCAATAGAAATTTCTTTCTGATTAGATCCTTGTGAAGACTTGTCATGCGGACCGAACGCACACTGCATGCTGCTGAACGATGTGGCTGCGTGCCTGTGTCAAAACGGGTTTACTGGAAGGCCAGGAGTAAAGGATGGTTGTCAAGATATCGACGAGTGTGTAATCAATCCTTGTCCTGAGAGAGCTATTTGCAACAACGAACCAGGCTCCTTCTCATGCGAGTGCCCGAGTGGAATGATCGGCGATCCGTACACCGGTGGTTGCGAACAATCAAGATTACCTCATGTCTGTGGACCTAATACACCTTGCCCATTGGGCGAACAGTGCATCAAAGATGAGTTCATCGGGGGTAGCGTTTGTATTTGTCAAAGAGGATATGCTCGTAGTCACGATTTGGAGTCTGGAAAATGCCGTGACATTGATGAATGCTTAGAATCTAGAGATAAACCTGCCTGTGGAATTAATGCTATTTGTAAGAATCTACCAGGCAGCTATGAGTGTCAGTGTCCACCTGGTTTTAATGGAAATCCATTTTCTCTTTGCGAAGGTATGTGAAATAACTAAAGTTAGTCTGATTGAAATCAGTGGCTAAGAGGAGGATGTTTGTATAGAAGTTTTTGATATACTCTCATACTAAGTGTTTCACTTAATTCAAAATTATTATTTGACAATCAGAAATGTGGTCGCTGTTATGTATATAATAATCTTTAAACAAAATTTCAAACCCAAATTTTGGTTTCGTAAGAATTTTGTTTTCTATGCAAAATAGAGAAACTTTCTTATAATTTTTTCAAGATTTGATTTTTTTTTTTTCTTTTTTTTTTGAAGTCTTTAAACTAATAAAACTCCAGTTAACGATTAAAAATACGTAAAAGTTGTACACTTCAACACGTATGCAATGACATCTTGAATGTATATATACACCCCCTATACATCTTGTTTCTTGTTTAAACCTTTATATTGTAGTTGTTAATCAGAGGAATACGAAATAATATAGTACATATTTTCAGAGATAGGAAAGTAGAGGATTCATCACATGTGCATTGACACTTTTATTTTCTGATTACTTTAGTGAGGCTTTATACCTCGGGTGGCAGTATGCACCATCATAATCATGGTGATCACACCATCTAAACATTTTTTACTTCTTACTTTTAGTAAGCACACTCTCTAGCTATTTGTATGGAGTATTTGAATAGAAAATTTTCCACTAGTTAACTGACTTCAACTGAACTAAACATGGAATTTGATGTATTTTACTTTACTTTTTACGTTTTACTCCACAAAACTGTTTTTTTATTACACGATTTGCAGAATGTAATAGTATTGAATGTCAATGTCAGCCACCATACAAAATTGTTGATGGAAAATGTATATTGGCTGACTGTTCGAAAGGAGAGAGATGTCCACAAGGTGCTGAATGTATAAAGATCGCAGGTGGAGTGAGCTACTGTGCGTGTCCCAAAGGTTATGGAACTAAATTAGATGGATCTTGTGAAGATATTGACGAATGCACTGAAGGCCGTGAGGTTTGTGGTTATGGAGCAGAGTGCATCAATCAGCCTGGCTCATATCGATGCATATGTCCTCGTGGGTATGGTGGTGATCCATACAATGGTCTGTGTTCTCCAGCACAGAAGCGATGCACGAATGATAACGAATGTAAAGCCAACGAAAAATGTGTACAACCAGGAGAGTGTATTTGTCCACCGCCATTCTACACTGATTCTTTGGATGGAAACCTTTGCAAAAGTTAGACACTTTTATAAATATGCTTCTTTAGCAGTTGAATTGACTTATTTACTTATAAATAACTTTTTTAGACCCCTGTGATCGGTTTCCGTGTGGAATGAATGCAAAATGTACACCAAGCGACCCCCCTAAATGTATGTGCCTAGCAGGATACGAAGGGGATCCTCAACATGGTTGTGTCGATGTAAATGAGTGTATCAATAATCCGTGTGGTCGAGGAGCTTATTGTTTCAATACAAAAGGTGGCTTTGTATGCGAATGTCCTCGTGGATCATCAGGTGATCCGTATGAAAGTGGATGTGCCGGTGGAGGTCCTATGGCCAAACAAGAATGTTCAGCTAATGACGATTGTGATAATTACTTGGCATGCATTCAAGGAAGTTGTGTTAATCCTTGCGATGACGTACCTTGTGGCCCCAATGCTTATTGTGAGCCTGATAAGCACGCAGCTTGGTGTCGCTGTGTCATTGGTTTCGTTGATGGCAAAAACAACGAATGTGTTTCTCGTAAGTCCTTTTTTAAAGATTTTTAATACTCAACCGTAAAAAATACTTATAAAAGTATTTTCTAACTTATTTTAATATCTATTTGATCATACCGATTATATTTTGTAGAATGTGATGGTTTCGTATGTGGTGCTGGAGCCCAATGCATCGTCAGTTACGATGGACCAACATGTAAGTGCATTGAAGGCTTTATGGGCAATCCGTTCCCAGGTGGTCAGTGTTTTCCAGACGTCTGCTCGCCTGAAGTACCATGTGCTGAGCCTAGTATTTGCATTGGAGGTCGTTGTAAACGACGATGTGAAGGTGTCGTATGCGGCGTTGGAGCCATGTGTGATCCCAATACCAATAAATGCATTTGCAATCCTTATTTTGTGGGAAATCCTGATTTTTTATGCATGCCACGTAAGTAAACCATACTATTACCTCAATTGAAGAACCGAACCTTCTTATAGTTATTTATCTACTTATAATTTATAAAAATAATAAAATTGGCAGATATTTTTAAGACAAAAATTCCACGAAATTTCTTAATTTGTTTTAAAGTAACAATTTTGTCCCTGGGTATCTTGTACTACAAATAAATTTTTGCTGACACTTTTTTTTATGTATGATACTCTAAATGTATTGTATTGTTAAATTTTACTGTAATTAAAAAAAAAAAAAATTTCATAATTTTAATGATTTATAAAGACTGTTTCACTTCCATTAAATTAAAAATATAATTATAAGCTACAATGGTATACTTATGGCTAAAAGATTTAAAATTTTGGAAATTTTTAAAAAAACTTCGATAACTTCAAATCTCAAAATTTCAAGGATCCTCTGGATACTTTTTACACATATTTTTGCTCGATTTAATTCTCGAGATTACTTTCATGAAACAATTTTTGTCATTCTAACTAACATTGCAAACATACTCAAATTATCAGCCAAATAATATTTTTTATGTGATTAAATTTACAAAAAGTTTGCAAACGAAAGATACTTTCATGGAATTAGAGTAAGATAAAAAATATATGATTACACAGCAATTGAACCACCCAAATGTGATCCCTTATGCGGTTCTAATGCACACTGCGAGTATGGCCTGATAGAATCGAAGTGTGTATGTAATCCAGGCACCAATGGCAATCCTTACTTGAGTTGTGGCATTCAAGAAAAGCCAGACTGTTCTAGAACTCACTGTGGCGTTGGAGCACAATGTAACACTGGACCTAACGTCGCTGAATGTGTTTGTCCTCAAGGTTATGCCGGAAATCCATACATTCAGTGTTCTGGCAAGTATACTAATCCAGCTTTGTTAACTAAAGCTTTAAGCTTAATAACTCTGTGTTCATCAACAAACACTAATTAATAATAGTAAACCAATATTTGCTAAGCTAACCCTATTTGCCGGTACCAGGATAACGACCTGTTATATAAGTGGTAAGAGGTGAACCATTAAAACGTCACACATGCACTAGAGTCTCTATGTTTAAGATTCATATTATTCTCCACCATAAAGTTTAATTTGAGTATTTCGTTTTTATATTTCTTCAAATTTCATAAGAATCGGAGATTTTTACATGAAAAAAAGGCTTTTAAATATTGTTATAACATACTTTTTAAACATAAATATTTAGACACGTAGTTTTTACTGACAGGAAAATTTCATTAAGAATCTTAAAAGCTGAGAAACTGCCTTAGACTTTGCATTTTAACACGTAATACATGAAAACAAATTTATGCACTTTATTTGAAAATTTTTAAATTGAATGGCAGTATATGTTTAGTTTTAATGTGAATCCGATACTAACATCACTAATAGTAGCAGTTCGTTTCTTGGGATACTGGCGGTTCATAGACAAATAAAATCCCACTAATAACTTTTTTTTCTCTTTTATTCCCCTACATATTATAGACATTAACGAGTGTAATGGAAACGCATGTGGCAACAATGCGGTGTGTATTAACACTATTGGTAGTTATGACTGCCGTTGTAAAGATGGTTACTTCGGAAATCCATTCACCAGCTGCCAACGCGTGGAAATTGGCACTTGCAAAGATCCAAATTCTTGCGCTTGCAACCAAGAGTTGCTTTGTCCCTTAGACTACACTTGTATTTCTGACAAATGTGTCAACAAATGTAGCAATGTCAAGTGCGGTCCACGCTCCATCTGCCAAGATGGTACGTGTGTTTGCCCACCCGGTTATCATGGAAATCCCAACGACCAACGACGTGGATGTCAACAACGTGGCCACTGCTCTAATGATCTTGATTGCGAGGCACAACAAATTTGTTTTCAAATTGGAAAGGGTACTCGAAAATGTGTTGACGGTTGCAGTAAGCTGCAATGTGGACCAAATGCCCTTTGCGTTTCAGAAAATCATGTATCATCATGTCTCTGTGTTGATGGTTTCTCTGGGAACCCAAGTAATCTCAGTGAAGGTTGCCAACCTGGAAAATCAGTTGGTGACATTGCTTGTCATGATAATAACGATTGTGAAGCTGACTACTTCTGCTTACTAGCTCCAAATGGTATCAGAGAATGCATAAATCCTTGCAGTAAAATTTCGTGCGGGTCCCATCAAAAATGTGAAACTGATAAGAACGGGCGAGCCGCTTGCAAATGTCTTAATAGCTATAAATGGAATCCAGTAAGCTCTTCTTGCGAAAAACCCTCTGTACCTGATTGTACTAACGACAGTGATTGCCGCAACACAGAAGTCTGTCATCCAGATGCTCTAGGTGTACTCAAATGTAAATCAATCTGCAAGAGCTTCACTTGCACAACTAATTCCCAATGTATAGCTAATAATCATCAGGCCAGATGCGAATGTTTGCCAGGATTTACTGGAAATCCGAATGACCGCTATGGCTGTATAAGCTCTAGTAAAGACCAGTGTATAAGTGACATTGATTGTCCAGAATATGAAACTTGTAAGTCTAGTAACGATGGCGTTTTATCTTGTCAACCAGTTTGCAATTTCTTGTCCTGTGGTCCAAATGCCTTATGCGTTGTAAATAATCATGTAGCTAACTGTGAATGTCTACCTGGTCTATACATTGGTGATCCTAATGACTCAAATAAAGGCTGTCAGAGCGTACCCTGCGTTTACAACATTGATTGTCCACCAACGCAGCTTTGTAATTTGCAGAAGCACACTTGCTATGATGCCTGTGACGTAAATTCTTGTGGTCTTAATGCCGTTTGTATAGCCGATGACCATAAATCAATTTGTCAATGCCCACCAGGTTTTAAGCCTAATCCTGTAGCTGACATCGAATGTGCAGCTATCGACATTTGTCAATCCAATACTTGTCACTCAACAGCTATTTGCATTACTGATGCCTCTAACAGTCCTGTCTGTCAATGTCCACTGAATCAGGTGGGCGATCCATACGCTGGCGGTAAAGGCTGTCAACTTGAGGGTTATTGTAATACTAGCCGAGACTGTCCGGTGCACTCGATCTGTCAAAATCGGCGTTGCATTAACCCTTGTGAAAACGCGTGTGGCCATAACGCCATTTGTGAAATTATTAACAGCGAGCCAATTTGCAAGTGTATGCATAGATTTATCCCCTCAACCAAAGGCATAGAGGATGGCTGCGTTAGATTAACAAACCAGTGTACGGTTGATGATGAATGTGATGACAGTGTTTGTCTAGATGGACAATGTAAAGGTAAGTGATACATTTTTCTAGTAAAATAATTTTCATAAAAATTTAAGCTCAAGTGTATTTTTTACAAAGTTATGAAGTGTGTAAGTATTTTATTTAAACTAATAAAGTAATACTATTTCTTGCTTTACATGTCTTTTTACAAATATTTAATGTATTACATACAAAAAAATACGATTTCATTTAATTAAAAAAAATATATGTATGTCGAGTACCAGAACAATACACGTTTACTTGGAAAAAAAATTTTTTAACAAAAGAATATTTTTCATTCCATTTTATAATAATCTAATTTATAAATATGTAAGAGCTTATAACTTGCCCTTACACACAAATAACTATCATAAATTTCAAAAAATTTCAATTTAAAATAATCAGTAAAATTCTAGCATTTCTTTTATTATTACAAGCAACACAATTTAGGTTGCTAACAATTATATTTAATGCATATTTCAACACTATTTACCTCTGCATTGGGTTGGTCAAATAAAAGATATTCTTGATGGATTTTTTCAAGAAACTTTATTAATGTACCTTTAAGGTGGCTCTTTCATGAAATCATTATGAACAGAATAACATGAAATCTTGAGGAATAATTTATTTAGTTACAGTACACTACATATACCTCTCAAAATTGTAGAGTAGGCTGACGAATATAAGCGCAAGAAAATGGAGAATGAGAATTAAATCCTAAACATGTGCTCTTATGGCAACTAAGTTCTTCTTCACTGTAAGATGTAGCCTAGTTATTTATTTACTGAACATTATTAAGTAAAAAACTGACACAATAAAGCTAACGTAATACTAAAAATACTACCGTCTAGAAATATATATATTCACGGACTTAATCAAAAGATATTAAAATAAACACGGTCCTTTATTTTTGTTTCCCATGTTGAAAGCACAGGCAAGCATCAACTGCTGGTGTTTTTAGGTTAAGCGCCGATTTTACATAATCATTCCTACGAACTTTTATATCGGATATCATGATGTAAAATTTTGAATCAGTACTTAATTCGACTCTATATATAATATTTACGAATAGCCGTTTGAAATTTAAGCAGTATTAATAAATATCATTTTGAATGTGGTACCTTTGACTCGGAAGTCATGAAAGAATCACTTTAAAATGATATTTTATCAGCGTTAGAGGATATTTTATCAGTAACAAAACCCATTTTTACTTCTTTATCACATGTTCATACGAGTGAAATTGCATGTTCAAATACCACAAGCTTACTCATTGAACTAAATCTATCTCATGGACACGCAATTAACGTTAAAAATTGCACCAGGTGAGTTATCAGAGCACCCCCTCACACTGAATAAAATATGATGCTGAAGGTACGCTTATTGCGATTTCTAGATACGTAGTTAATCTATCGGAACGTTGTACTTTCGTGATTAGAAAAAACTACTTTAAATAGGATTGAATTACTGCATTTTTATTACAATTATGGTACATAGTTCAGCTGTAAGGTAGGGTAAGCATCACAAATTCTTCCTATAGTACGGGAGGTCACGTTCAAATTTTGGTGCCGATATCGTTAAGACTAATGCTACGTTTAATTGGAAGATTTCTTCAAAACATTCTGAAACATCTGACCAGTTGGTCCAAATCGGGGACAAAGTGGCACAGTGAGAGGTTAAAGTCATTGTCACAAAGTTTTACAATGATTTATTTCAATAAACGTGAAAATGAATTTTCCAAATAGATGACATGGTTATTTATGCAGAAAAATTAACCAGTCATCTGTAATTAGGGACATGACCGACCAGCTAGGTATTTAAATTTGTAGAATTCGTAAGTAAGGTGTATACATACAGTAATTTCGCAAAATTTTCCATATTAAGTGGGTCTGAAATTTTCAGTGTACTAGGTACATTGGGACTACAATAACAACTTCATACAATTTCATGCAGTTCATGAGACATTTGGGTTTACCATCGAACCATCTAAATTTTTTATTCTTTAATGCTATTAATTAATTTTTTCACACTGAAACTAAACATATCAGAACGTAAAAAAGCTATATGTACACTTTAACTTAAATTATTATACTTATAATGTTAATATCTAATTAGAATCCATCATTTTGTTGATAACTGAAATTAAATAACATGTGTATGTTTTAATAACATTTTTAATAGTATTGACAAAATCATAGAAACTAATATTGTTTGAAAATATAGTAAATACAATGATTTAAAAATTCATATCTCAATATTTTTTAGCTGTGTGTCGCTCATTATCTGATTGTGCCGAGGGAGAAAAGTGTATTGATAAAAAATGCGTGATACCTTGTACGAATCATAATCAATGCCAAATTAACCAAGCATGTACAAACAATATTTGTGTCTTGGGTTGTAGAAGCAATCGAGATTGTCACTCATCTGAATCGTGCATTAATAACAAATGCAAAGGTACTATATCTCCTACGTAAATTATTTACAGATATATCTCACAAGTAAACCTACCCAAGTGTCAGTCACCGATTTTGATGAAACTTTGCATAGTGGTAGAGAATCAAAAAATAAATAACACGTGTTTTTTTTATCGGCGGAGAATGGTTCCTAAGGAGTGAAATCTACCCTTAAGTTTTTACCCTTAAAACACATATTCTGTAATATTTTCTTTTAAACTCAATATTTTTCAAAAAAATTATATGAAAATTGTTCCCATCAAAAAAGTACTTATAATTTAAGAAATATTTTACAGTCAGGGTTGCATACCCTATATTTTAAGGTTCGAAACTATGTTTTTTATAGTAAGTTTTTTTTCTGAAAATTCTGAAATTCGTTGAAAATTAATCAAAAAAATGTTTTTGCATGTTACATAACATGTGCAGTTAACCAATATTTGTAATTTTCTTAAAATAACCCCCTATAGGGATGTACAACCCCTATTCGAAATAAACTACTAGAGCCGTTGAAGACAACAAGTTAAGCATAAAAATTGATATAC